TATATATATATATATATATATATATATATATATATATATATATATATATAAACTACATAAGAGTATCTATAAAAAAAATTAACTCTAATATTGATATATATTAATATTTAAAAATAAATATAATGATTTGTAATGAAATATTTCACGTGCAGTTAAATAAATATAGAATCGTATCAGTATCATACTTGTCTAATTATTTATTATATATAAAAATTTTATTGTCCAATTGTATTAAATATAACTATTATTTGTAATCTATATTATTAAGAAATTACCTTGTATCTTGTGAACTATTGACATTTTTAAAGATATAAGCTCGTCCTGATGTTGCACTCATCAAGACCTTTCATTTGAGTACCCACATCAATTTTTCATATATTTTACATATGTATATATGACAAATATATCAAAAATGCATGTGGGTACTCAAATGAAAGCTCTTGATGAGTGTAACACCGGGATGAGCTTATATCTTTAAAAATGTCAATAGTTAAGAAAGTACATTGCAATTTAATAAATATCTTGTGAAATATTGACATTTTTAAAGATATAAGCTCATTCCAACATTACACTCATCGAGAGCTTTCATTTGAGTACCCACATCAATTTTTTATATATTATATATATATATATATATATGTATATATGAAAAATATATCACAAATGCATGTGGATACTCAAATGAAAGCTCTTGATGAGTGTAACATCGAGATGAGCTTATATCTTTAAAAACGTCAATAGTTAAGAAAGTACAGGGCAATTTAACAAAAGTAATTATTTAATAAAGCAAAATTTTATTTCTAGTAATTTTAAAATTTAAAGTGGTGGGCTCAGATCAATAAAAACAGTTGAAATTATATAAAAATAAGATTTATTTTATATTTAATATACATAGCATTCAATAATATCAATAATTAGTCAATGAGATATTTCAATAATACATTTAATTATTAATTAGTTAATTACTTTATTTAATTTATTAACTTTTTTTTGGATTTTACTCTCAATATTGTAATGTAAGTCTTGACATTTAGATCAATACAATTTAAAAATGAAATAGTTGATGTTTAAACAGTGATTGTAAAGTCTTTGGGTGATTTGGACAGCGAATTAGAGAGAGGCCCGGAACGTTTTCTGTGAAGTTTGAGCTTCATATCAATATCACATTCCGCCTCGCTTGTTTCGTGAGCATCGGTGAACCCTGAGGGTGGTTTGAGCTCTAGTGTGGATAATTCATTACCCCAGTCTTCGCGCGGTTGCTGCTCTCGAGAGCGTAATCTCGCGTTTCGTTGATAATTGCGTGGTGTTGACATTGAAATAGAGGTTGAGGTTGAGGTTGAGGTTGAATTTGAATTTGAATTTGAGTTTGAATTCGAGTTTGAGTTTGAAGATGAGGATGACGTTTGTGTGTGTGTCGGCTGTATCACTGATGTCGGTTGTTGAGGATCATTGAACAAACACAAAGACTCAACTGATCGACGCGGTATTTGTTTGTGTCGATCTATCGAGGCTGTATTAAGTCTTGATCCTTTGGCAGTGTGACTCGGCGAGGGTGCTGCCGAGTAAGATCTAACTCCCGTGCTCGTCTCTGGATCCTTTCCCATTGCTCGAATTATATTTTGAACTCGAGATCCACTGACGTTGTCTGCTATTATTCCATGTCTGTTTTTCATTATAATATCTATATTATTAAGAGAATAAGAAAAATTTGTGTCCAGGATAGTCATATGATAAAATCGTTTTTTTTAGTGTCATTGCAAAGGTCTTGACTTGAATTTGTGTCATTTCAAGGTTTCATATCGTTCTCTAGATACATAAATTAAGAAATTACCCTGTATATTGTGAAATATTGACATTTTTAAAGATATAAACTCATTCCGATGTTATACTCATCAAGACCTTTCATTTGAGTACCCACATCAATTTTCCATATATTTTATATATATTACATATATGTATATATGAAAAATATATCAAAAATGCATGTGGGTACTCAAATGAAAGCTCATGATGAGTGTAACATCGATATGAGCTTATATCTTTAAATATGTCAATATTTAAGAAAGTACAGTGCAATTTAATTAATATCTTGTGAAATATTGAAATTTTTTAAGATATAAGCTCATCCCGACATTCCTCTCATCGAGACCTTTCATTTGAGTACCCACATCAATTTTTCATATATTTTATATATTATAATATATGTATGTATGTATGAAAAATATATCAAAAATGCATGTGGGTACTCAAATGAAAGCTTTTGATGCATGAGTGTAACATCAGGATGAGCTTATATTTTTAAGAACGTCAATATTCAAGAAAGTACTAAGCAAAATTTTATTTATTTATAGTTCACAAGTCATATAGTGACTGTAAGGTTGCTAGGTATTATTATTATTATTTTTATTTAAATTAAATATTAAATATTTACCGTTGCTTTTCTAATCTAGGAAAGGTTTTTCTTTCAGAAATTGGTGACGGCTCGGTTGATGTACTTGATTCGTGCGTGTGGTACAGTACATCTAAAAATAAACACATTTAAATAAATAAAACGATTGCTATTTATTTATCTAGAGGAAAGCAGAGTATTATGGGATACAAAAAAATTAAGTGCATTGCTAATTAACGATCGACTTAATTAATTATCCAGCAGCAGCTTTAATTAATTCTACATTGAATTTATTTTATATATTTATAGAATAATTGGTGAAATCCTTGTTTAATTATTTACAAGTTTTAAAAGCTGTAGATTAATTATTCACACCAAGACTTTAACTGCAAACTCGAAATCCAAAATAATAATTGAATAAAAAAAATTTTGCGTGCAATTTAAAGCCAATCTATGAAATCTATTATTATTCCCGTGTTCCCAGCTTTCCCTTGGTTGATAATAATTAAAAAAAATATAATTCAATACTAATACTAACTTACTATGATGAACCGGCCTTGGGAATATGGCTAATCGTTGCTCGCGGCCTCGCTGTGGCCCGGAATTAGGTCCCGGGGAGCGAGTTAAAATAGACGTCGGAGCAGAATCGTCGAGGTGGTTGGAGGACTCTGTACGACTACTCGTCCCTACTTCGGTGTCGCTGTCCGATCCAAGAGTATCGTATTCCTCGGATTCGGACTTGAATGACTTTGATTTACGCCTTGACCGGCTTCTTACTTTGGTATATTGATCAACATCAATCTGAAAATAAAAATATAAATTTAATCTATATATTAAATACAATCATTAAGAAATGACCTTGTATCTTGTGAACTATTGACATTTTTAAAGATATAAGCTCATCCCGATGTTACACTCATCAAGACCTTTCATTTGAGTATCCACATCAATTTTTCATATATTTTATATATTTATATATATTATATATATGTATATATGAAAAATATATAAAAAATGCATGTGGGTACTCAAATGAAAGCTCTCGATAAGTGTAACATCGGTATGAGTTTATATATTTAAAAACGTCACAATAGTGAAAAAAGTACAGTGCAATTTAATAAATATCTTGTGAAATATTTACATTTTTTTAAGATATAAGCTCATCCCGATATTACACTCCTCAAGACCTTTCATTTGAGTACCCACATCAATTTTTTATATATATTATATATATGTATATATGAAAAATATATCAAAAATGCATGATGTGGGTATTCAAATGAAAGCTCTTGATAAAAGTAACATCGAGATGAGCTTATATTTTTAAAAGCGTCAACAGTTAAAAAAGTACAGTGCAATTTGACAAAAGTAATTATTTAATAAAGCAAAATTTTATCTATTTATAGTATACAAGTCACGGCAGTCACACAGTGACTGCAAGGTTACTAGTAAGAATGAAAAAAAAAAAAAATGTACTGTTTTTTTTATTATTCACCTGAGCTCCTTGTAACATTGTTTCACTTCTCTCGTAGAAATACGCCTGCCTTATTGGATTCGCGGATAAATTTTCTTGCTCGGGCAAATGAAATGTTGCATACGGATAAATGTCTTCAGAGTACTCGGGTATACGTTCCAATGCATTTACCTCCCGACAAGGGGATTGTTGACTAGGCTTACGTACTGTTGCATAATACTGTTCCCTCTGTTCCATATTGTGTTTGTTATCCAACGCCGCCTGGGTTTGAGAAGTTGGATCATTACCTCTTCTTCCTCTCAGAGAATCTTTTTTAAATAATAAAATTTTATTATTATTTATTAGACAGTTACTTTTTAGTAAAAGTTTTAAAAAAAGTTATTTACGTGTTTTCAGACAAAAGCAAACACCGCCGACGACTATAATAACAGCAACAACGGATATAACACTGGGCGCAAGTACTTGTGCATCGAAATAAACCGGCGTGACCTTTATTTCAGGCGGCCGCCCGTCATGGATCCTCGTTGAGTCGCCAGGAGTAGTTGTACTAAATAGGTATTCCGCTTGAGTTGATCCGGCATTATTGTATCCTGTCACTCGTAATTCATAGCTCGTTCCACTCTCCAAATTTACTATCGGAAATCTCGATTGTGGTGACACATTATTCGATACTACAACAAAAATTTTATTATGCTAATTTAAATTAACGGTAATTATGCAGAAGTGGGGCTTGGCCTATTTTTGGATTTAAAAATTCAAAAAATTAATGTTTTTTAATATTTATTTTTTAATTGTTTTTCTTCACGGCGAATTTATGATGAAAAGTATGAAAATTAAATATTTTGATGTTTTTTTTTTTTGTTGATGTTAAATTGCACTGTACTTTCTTAACTATTGACGTTTTTAAAGATATAAGCTCATCCCGAGGCTACACTCATCAAGAGTTTTCATTTGAGTACCCACATCAATTTTTCATATATTTTTCATATATACATATATATATATATTGAAAAATTGATGTGGGTACTCAAATGAAAGGTCTTGATGAGTGTAACACCAGGATGAGCTTATATCTTTAAAAATGTCAATAGTTCACAAGATACAGGGTCATTTCTTAATTATGTATCTAGAGATAGAGCATTTTCGAGTGCAGCTTAAATACTTATCATCATAATTACCAAAAAATATTTTTTTATACGCCCTTTTAGTTCCGCAAAGCCAAAAGGGCGTATAATTAATGATATAGTAATTACCTAATAGCCAATCACCGGGCAATCGTTTGTATTCAACAACAAAGTAGAGCAATGGGCAGCCGCCGTCTTGCCAGGAAGTCAGTTCAAGAACAACAGAGGTCATATTGGTACGTATGAGATGCTTTTTATGGGGAGGAACTGGTTTAGAGCCTTTGGTCCTAGCAGTTTCCATTTTGCTGGCACTTCCACTCCCTATGCGATTAAAAGCAGCCAGAGTAAATTGATACTTTGTACCGCACTGCAGACCTCCAAGTAAATGAGTACTGGCACGCCTGTCAAGCATAACTTCTTCCCATTCGGCGAATTCCTTGCGATAAGCCAACACAAATCCCTTTATAGGAGCACCCCCGTTGTCTCCCTGCTTCCACTGTAACTGCACCGCCTCGGTTGTTGTGCCAGTTGCAAGAAGTGTTGGAGGTGTTGGTGGAACTATGCGTAAAGTTTGTCAATTAAAACTTATAACTTTATATACCCACCAACCGGCAACCCGGCAACAAAAACATCATCTGCTGTATCTCATAACGCTATACAAACTTTAACTGCCAAACAAAATTTTTTTTTATCTTTTTACTTTTTTTATATCTTTATCTAAAGTAAATTAATTTTTCTTTTTTTTTGGCGCATCAATTTAAAGTTTACTTTAGTTATTCTTTTTTTTATCAAACTTTTTTTTTATTTATTTATAATATATTTACCTTGAACTTGTAGGCTGTAAATAATTTCATCAAAGCCCAATGAATTTTTGACATGACACGAATAATTTCCCTCCTGACTTCTCTGTACATTTTTTAAAGTTAGCGTATGATCTGCTCCAATATCCAATCTAAAAAAAATTTTTATTTATTGAATCTCTAGATACATAATTAAAAAATGACCCTATATCTTGTGAACTATTGACATTTTTAAAGATATAAGCTCATCCCGACATTACATTCATCAAGACCTTTCATTTGAGTACTCACATCAATTTTTCACATATTTATATATATATGTATATATGAAAAATATATGAAAAATGCATGTGGGTACTCAAATGAAAGCTCTTGATGAGTGTAACATCGGGATGAGCTTATATTTTCAAAAACGTCAATAGTTAATAAGAAAGTACAGTGCAATTTAATATAATTAAATATGTCAGCGTATAATCTGCTCCAATATTCAATTTAAAACAATAAAATTTTAATTTATTGAATCTTTGAGAGAAAAAAAAAGTAACTTTGATGAATAATAAATTAATTATAGCATACCTTTGGCTCTTTTGTAATTTAACATCCCCCAATCGCCAATCAACTGTCGGTTCAGGTACTCCGACGTATAAACAATGAAATCTTACGTCAACACGCCAAGACGTTATTATAGGAGCTCCAAAAGATACAATAGCCGCTGGAACTAATTACCAAAGTTAATTAAAATTTAATAAAATCATTTCACCGAGCTATACTATCCAAAGTTTACAGAGTATTAAAAAAACAAGTTAATTAATAAATCAAACTAAGAAAATGACTCTTTCCTTAATAGAAAAAAATAAAGAAAAGCCTTTCGGAATTATTTAATTAAGTCTTTATCGTACACCATTTATTCATTTATTCTTTCTTTTACTTTCAATTTCTTCCACCCGTATTTAATTAATTAAATACCAAATAAAATAGTTTTAGAATTACTCGATATTATTAACCAAATAACAAAGTATCAAGTGAATTTAGATGGGGAATAATAATAAAGTTTATTTATAATTGAATAAAGTTATAAAAGAACGATCAAGAAAAAACTACGACCATTGAGGAGGAAATAAAAAGTAAATAAAATAAGTAACTTTTATATACAAAGCGAAAGTAACAAAAGAAAATTACACTCTTGTAACTTTAAACGTTTCTAGGTACTATAAACTTTGTCGTGAGGGAACTAATTATTTGACTGGTTGTTGTTGGTTTAACTTGTACTTATTCCTGTAGTATATACACCACAAGCCGACTCTACGAGTTCAGGATCAATTTATTTTCTTGCCGTTTCCTCCTTTTATTATCAAGTTACTCGACAATAAAATGTCTGGGTAATAATACACCCAGCAAATAGGGGAGGTATTTTAAAGTTATAAAATAATAATGTGTAAAGTATAAAAAAGTATAAAAGTAAAAAAGTACGTTTGGTTACCAACCGGTAGAACTTGGCTGAAGTTTGATGACCGGAGTACTTGGTCCCTCTCCGACTTTAGTGGAAGCAGTGACCCATGCTTCATAAGATTCTCGTAGTTTCAACCCCGTGGCTTCATAGTGTAAACTTTGAGCCGGCAAAAAGTCTTTAATGATCTTTACTTCTTGGCCCTGATCCAGCGCTCGTATATACACGGTGTACTTAGTGACAACACCGTTCGGTCGTTTTGGTGGTAACCACGAAATAATAACAACATTATCCGCGGCTGGAACTGCCTTGACGCGTTCCGGTACATCAGGAACTGTTTTTATTATTTATTATTTATTAAATTTATTTTACAAAATTAATTACTTTTTAAAATAATAAATTTTTACCAGTTTCTTCAGTCATACACGAAATGGGCGTACTGGTAACACCTTCCCCGGCCCGGGTGTAAGCCAAAATCTGGACGGTGTAGTTTGTGTAGGGCCGTAAATCGTGAAGAACTGTGCTAAGCGCTTGAGTAATCTTTGTATCACGAGATCCCACAATTTCACTACTTTCTTCATTAGCCGGTTCGTACAAAAGTTTGTACCCCTTTATTACTCCGTGGATTTTATCCGCCGGCGGTGCTTTCCACGTAACTTGAATATTTTGACCAGTCAGCGCTGTGCAGGCAATGTGCTGCGGCGGAGCGCTTGGTACTAAAAATAAATATTGTCCATATTTATTATATTTTATTTTGTTCAATTTAAAATAAAATACAAACCTGCTTCGAGGGTTTGGGTTATCACTGGATCAGAACCAGGACCATCTCCTTTGCTGTTAAAAGCCTTCACCACAATGCTGTACTCGGTAAATTTTCTCAATCCAGTTAATCGGTACTCGTAAGTTCCGTCCCCATTTCCCGTAATGCCCACTCGAGTTATATTTGTTGCCTGCTCGTCATCTCTTTCCAAAAAAATCGTACAAACATTTGTACGAAAAAACAATTAGTTCAGAATTTATTATCATTTTAAAAAACCATTTAATACCATTAATATCTAATAGAGGTAAATAATATTTTGATTTGGGTCATTGAAATAGTTCATAATTGGACTATTTTGCTACATCAAAATGTTAAAAAATGACCCTCTAAAAAATAACGAGTTAGACCAATTGCTAATTGGACCATCAATTTATAATAAAAAATTAAAAAAAAAAAAAAAGAACTGATTATACCTGAGTATAGTGGAAGCGATGGTGTATCCAAGAAGCTCTCCGTTCCACAGAGCCTGATCCGGAGGCTGCCAGGTGATTTTTAGCTGCTGAGGACCCAGAGGCTCTGCGGTGACCTGCCTCGGAGGCCCTCCCGGTATCTCGCCGTCAGTTTGAACCTGTAAAATTTTTTTTTTTTTTAATAAAAAACAAAAGGAAAGAACGTGAGCATGCATTGATGAGATAATGCGATAAAATATGGAATACTGACATGAAGAATGTCGCTTGGGGCTGATGTCCCGAGATGATTTTCCGCAAAGACACGAAAATGATAGGTGGTTGCCGGTTTTAGTTGTGATACCAAAGCGATCGTGTTGTCTCCTGCTACCGGCTGGGTGTTGTGGTCATGCCACACATCTTTTACAGACACACATACGCACACATTCATAATTATGCCATTAGTAATAGGATATATTTAATAACAGCAAGTGATACAAGTGATATAGGCATATATTGTATCAAACATATAAAGGTCTTAGGTCTGAGGAGGTTATTGTTTAGTTTATCATTAGACAGACCCTCTTGGAGTTGTCGAGTTGTTGTTGTTGTTGTTGTTGTTGTTGAAGCTGTTATGTATGTCAATATGTGTGGAATGTCATTCAATTAGTCGAGTACATATAGTAGGATACATAATAATAGATAGTGGAGATCGAGATGGAGAAGGATGTAACTGGAGAAGATGATAAAAGTAGTAAAGTATGTAATAAATATGTTTGTCTTTAATAAAATTTTTTTTTGTAAATATGTGTACCTACCATCGGCCTCTTTGTACTGAATAATATAATTAGTTATTGGAGAGTCGGGGTTAAGAGAGTCCGAGTCGCTGGAAGGCGATGACCAAGACAAAAGTATCGAGCGACTTTTAAGCTCGGCTACGTGTAAATTCCGGGGAAAATTAGGGGGCTCTTGGACCAGAAGATTGATCGATGCTTTGTCCATGCCATACGCATTGCTGGCAACGCACACGTACTCTCCCCGGTCCTCGTGGCCTGCTTTAGTTATTCGTAATTCAGACGTCATTCCACGGGGTGTTGAATTATTCTCCAATATATATCTGCACAGTACGTGATTTCGAATGTATTACCTTTATTAAGTTAACAGTTATCGATTTTATTATAAATTATAAATTATAAATTATAAATTATAAATTATATATATATATATATATATAATACTGTATATTAAACATGTGATTAACGCTATTTATTATTAATTGTTATTGTAGCTCATTGCAATTATTATTCGGTAATTCATTGTTCCAATTGTTTATTTGTGAAAGTTTATCCCACTGGACATTTAATAATATCCATTAATTCGGATGACTGATATTTTACTTTAGCTATTGTTTTAGCAATAATTTAAATTGTCATTTCTATTTATGTATCATGAGGAATTCTGAAATAAATCTTATAAATACCTTAAATCATAAATTGGCTCAATTCTACCAGCACGATTACGCCAACTGATATCAAGAGGTGAATCACCTTCGGCCTCGCATCTCAAAGTTCCCGTTTCACCTCTTCTGACAGACTCTTGACGTGTTTTAACTTCAACATGCGGCCCCGCTGAAAAAAAAAATTATTTTAAATGAAATAATCAATACAGACAATTGTTAAATTTATAAATTTATAAAAATAATAAAATAAAGTAGCAGTGTCTGATAGAATTTAGTTGATACATATTTAAACTAGCCGGTGGCATAGATGATAAATATTTTACCGTGAACTGTTAGACGAATGAGTTTACTGAGACCAGGACCTATGCCATTGCTTCCTTGGCACAAGTAAAACCCGCTGTGTTCTCTGGATACTCTTGGAATAACCAACGAGCCATTCTTTGAAACTTCAATTCCTTCCGTAGTTCCTCCGTATCCGAGCTCACGGTAGTCTCCTGGCGTTTCACCTACATTTTTTTTATTTTTTTTTTTTTTTTTTTTAAATCAAATCTACTTGTTAATATTTGATGAGATAAATTTTATCAAATTAAATTACATAAAAAGTAAAGAATACAATATAATAATGAAGTAAAAGTTAACAAGAATCCTCGTGAGGTTAGACGAAATTAATTTCATTTAAAAATTTGTATCTGTGCATATATATGGAGAGAGAGAGAGAGAGAGAGAGAGAGAGGGAGGAAAAGCTCATTCGAAACTGAATGAAAACGCTGAGTGCACCGATCAGCAAAATTCATGACGAATGGAACAAAGTTCCCCACAGCCAACACTGTCGAATAGACCCCGAGTTAATGAAGGCTTGGATTTTCAACCGTCAACCCCTTACTGTTATACATACTAGTACAGTTCATTGTTCGAGTGAAATACATTCAAGATAGAAATTCATTAAAATCATGCAATCTAAAACTTTTACTCTTTCTTGTATAATAACTAGAAGGAAAGAAAAAATAAATAAATAATTAGAAAATTTTTTTTCAACTAAATGTTGAGTGATTTTTTTTTTAAAGAAAAATAATTTACCGATAGATTGTTTCCAGGTAACATTAGGAATCGGAAATCCTTCAGCTTGGCAAGCCACGGAGACAGAGTGACCTACAATAGCATCCTGGTCGATAGGTTCCACAACCCAACGAGGAGGGACTAAAAATACCATTCTATTAAAATTTAAGTCAGAGCTAACAGATGATATCTACGTTTTTTATTGGTTTCTTTTTTTTTTAATTCTTCTCCCAATTTGTTTTAGGTTTTTATTTTTTGTAACAAAATTTGTTTAAAATCTCTAAATGTTTACGCAATAAACCGAACAAAAATTACTTTGATTTTTTATTATAAAGTTTAATAACATGCATTTCTAAATAATTAATTAATAATAATAATAATATTTTTTAATCCCAAATAACTACATGGTACTTATAAAACAACGCTTAACGACTTTGTAAAATATTATTTTCTACTTTAGTTTAAAATTTCGTGAACTGACGATAATATTTTGGAGCTTTCTCTTTATTTATTTTTATTTAATGTTAATAAACTTTTTTTTTCATCATTTATCAAAAGCAAATTACTATAAATTAAATCTCTTTGTCGTCAGTTCAAGCTTTTAAAATTACATATACGATCAATAATAATAATAATAATAATAATAATAATAATAGAAGTAATATTAATAATTAATAATAATTAATAATTATAATAATAATGAATGAAAATATAATCATGCTTGAAACAGTTAATGACACCGCTACAAAATACAAGTGCACAACAAAGTATCGTAAAATTAACTACGATACGTTATGCCTACCGTAAAATTACGTGTTTTTGTTTCTCCTCAATATTTATTAAATATACTCCAGTAAATGACCTTTACAATTTATATTTTTATATTTTATATTTTTTATTTTAAAAACTGGACAATGCCCGTCGGGCTCGATTTGCTCTGTTAATACTCAATTTATATTTTTAAAAGTTTAAAAGGATCGAAGCACTCTCTAATTCAACAGAACACTAGACTATTTTTTTTTTTGTTTCATATTTCAAAACTTCAACAAAAATTATTATTTTTTTTTTTTTTTTTTTTTTCCGGCAACTAAGAGATTTATAAATAAAATGGATAAAATAATAGACGGTGTTTGTTTTATGGAGAGGAGGACTGGATTTGATTAACCGTGGTCACCGGAAATGATTGCTAACGACATGAAAACCATGAGATAACGACAGTGCTCGATACACAGGTGTGCATATACATATATATTTGATAATATGAATTTACGATATTTCATTCCCATACCCAGGACTCCGGACTCTAAACTCGGTGACTGTCGCGTAAACTGATATTAATGTAGCGGGCAGTACTCGCACACGGCGTACACCCAATACTCCACCAACAGAGTCTCTGTATCTCGATTCTCGATATTACATTATATACATAGACATATATATATATATATATATTCATCCAACAGCAGCATGCTGCTAAATTCTGGAGTCGTTAGCTTAGTTGCATCAACGGCTCATCGATCAATAAACTTCGATCATTTCCCGACACCTAATTCATTATATATCTATATTATTAAGAGAATAAGCAAAATTTTATAGTCAGTATATTTCTATGATAAAATGGGTTTTTATGGTTAAACTACCAATAGTCAATTTATAATTATAAGTATTTCGGCTGCATTTGAAAATGCTCTATCTATTATGTAGATACATAATTAAGAAATCACCTTGTATCTTGTTAAATATTGACATTTTTAAAGATATAAGCTCATTCCGATGTTACACTCATCAAGACCTTTCATTTGAATACCCACATCAATTTTTCATATATTTATATATATTACATATATGTATATATGAAAAATATATCAAAAATGCATGTGGGTACTCAAATGAAAGCTCTTGATGAGTGTAACATGGAGATGAGCTTATATCTTTAAAAATGTCAATAGTTAAAAAAGTAAAGTGCAATTTAACAAAAGTCATTATTTAATAAAGCAAATTTTTATTTATTTATAGTTCATAAGTCACATAGTGATTGCAAGGTTGCTAGTTTATATTAATTATAAAAAAGAGTGCTTGGATCCTTTTAACAAAAAAAAAAAAAAATGAAAATAATATAAATAATAATATAGAATTGATTGAAGATGAATGAAACAAACCGAAAACGGCGAGAACAGCGGTGTGCTCGACGACACCGGCAACATTGCTGATTTGACATGTGTAGTTTCCGGAATTCTTCTCATTAACGCTATTAATAGTGAGGATACTGGAAAACGGTGAATAGTTGCTTATCTGAATATTTCCCACCGACGAAAACAATGACGACGAAGAAGAAGAAGACGATGATGATAATGATGATGACGATGATATTGATGATGATGACGATGAGGAGGATGATGCATGCTCCCCAGCGGGATGCTCTCTCAATTGAATTGGCTCGTTGTTGACCAACCAAGTGATATTGAATGGCTGATCTCCTTCACTCGTCGAGCACATCAGCTGCGTCCTCGTTCCGTCCATAACCCCGCTTTCGAGAAAAAACGGCGAGATCCGGGGCGGAACTACAAGGGTACTTTTTTATATACTTGTTACCGAGTAACACACTGACTAACCGACAGCTTTTGATAATTATCACCGCGATTAAAAAATCTTTTATTTAGCCACGAAATTTTTCGGCTAAGAGGCACAACGTTGACTTATTTTTTTCTTTTTAAATTTTAATCTTTTTTTTTTTTTAATTATTTAATTACTTACCAAATATTTAGATATTCTATTCAATTACTCGTTGCAAAATTATAATAATAATATTTAATTAATCAAATAACAAAGTACAAATAAACAAATATTATATAATATGGACGTTGTTGATGCAAACGCCAAGATAAATAACAATTAAAATTTAATAATAAACATTGGCGAATAAATAGGACGAGTTTATTAATTACTCCCGGATAGTCTATTCAAATGTTCTCGTATTATTTTTTGTAATTAACTTATTCATCCTCCCCCCTCCCCCCATCTACCGGTCATAAAAAAGTTTTTAACAATAAAATTGAAATAATGACGTTAATTAACCGCAATTTAAAGCAAATCGTAAAAGTCTGCTATTGTTTTCATCAACTTGAACCGAAAGTTTTAAAGTTTTAATCTTGTTACCGATTTAACGGGTGATTTTAATAATTCTTTACTTATTATTATTATTATTATTATTATTATTATTATTATTATTATTATTATTAAATAAGGAGTTTTAAATAAATACAGATAGGTAAAAAGTTTATTTATGAGATTATTGGCATCCAGAGTATTGTAAAATCAACAACGCGGGTTGTGTTTCATGCCACAACAAACATTGTTTTACATAATACGATCGGGTGTTGTATACTCGCGGACAGACAGATATCGAGAATCTACAACACACACAATCCACTGCATTGGGACGTGAGCGCGTTAGAGCAAACGATGCAATTTGTATTTCATTATCTGCAATGACCAGAAGCAAATAAATCCTCCGCTGCTGAGTTTAACTATCATTTGATATCACGTGTCTCACCTGTAGTGTGTTTCTTTTTTCTTTATTTATTTAATATATCATAACCGTAAGTAAATTTGAGAAAAAAGAGAATAACTAATTAAACAAACAATAATATTGTTCGAGAGCATTTGAATTTTATTTTGTTAAACGTATTTTTTTAAAAATAATCATCAGTGTTTACTTTACTCGTCCATTATTCACACAAAAATATACCAATTCTACATCCTACCTATTATAATAATAATAATAATATAAATATTAAACCGCAATACACAAATAATTAATAATAAATAACAACGTGGGAATAATATATATGTACCTGATGATATTAAATGATTTAAAAATAAATAAAATACTTCCAATAAAATAAAAGGAAGTACTATAATTTAACTCAACAGCCCAAATTAGATACAAATTACAACACAATTATCTAAATTCAAATATTTATCATACTAAATATCATTTTATTGGTATAATTAATATCAATTAAATGTGCGAGAAAAATCAGTCAAATTATTTAAAAAATAATTGGAAAAATGTTTACCAAATCTGTGTATTATATAATTAAATTTTAAGTGAGTAATAATAATAATAATAATGATAATAAATTTAATTGTGCATACTGCAGTGTATTATAGGTTGATATGAGGATGTTGGTATTCCAAAGCTACTCATTAATGTCTAATGAATTCAAAGTGTAGGTATTGTACGTCATGAGTGCATCACGATATATATATATATATATATATATATATATATATATATATACCTGTTTTTGTATATATTATATATCATTGCGAATAAAAGCAAAGAATGGATCCATAACTGCTATCCGTGCAAATAGACAACAAACACCATGCAGGTTTCATTCTTGTTTAAAAACTTTTAATTATATTTTTTTTTTATCATTCCCATTAGTTTCAATTTACAAGTTTAAATATTAAATGTAATTGTTGGAAGTAATAGGAAGAATAATTTAAAATATAATTAAAAATTAAAAATACGTTAAATTGGCATGCTGAAACAAACGAAAGAACGAGAAGAGCGAGCGAGCTAGAAAATATAAAGATAAAAGAGTAAAACGAGCGAGACAATTGAGTGTGAAGAAAAATAATAGTTTTAAAAACACAACAAAGAGAATATAAAAGACTCTATCGGAAATTCGGACAGCGGTTAATTAATTAATTAATAAAAGCCGAAAATTCCGATAGAGTGTAGTTATTTTTTTTTTTTTTTTTTTTATTTTTTCAAGAGAAGAAAAGTGTAATAAAATGAAAGTAAAAAAGTATAAATAGGGTGTTTGTTTAGTTTTATAATTGGGTATGATTATATGTTGGTGGTTGCTTAAGTAGACAGACACCAACAACAAACTAAACGGTGATTCGTTACCGTTGACAAGGAGAAGAGTAGAGTGAGCGACGGTTGCAGCGCCATTGGTCACGCGACAGGTGTACGTGCCATTGTGTGCAGGAGTTATCGTGCTAACGCTCAGAGCACTATTAAAAGCGTCATAATGGCGGATCGTTATTGACTCTTCTAACGATTGATCAATCCTATGTATATTTTTATTATTTATTTGTTTAAACATTCGTGATGACGTTGAAGAAGAAGAGGAGGAGGAAGAAGAAGACCGTCCTTTCGATAACATATTCTTAATTCCACTCTCGTTATTGTTTCCACGTCGATCATTTTTACCAGAGTTACTTTTACTCTGGCCGTTGATTGACGACACTCCGTTGGAACTTCCAGAGGAATCTTGATCACGTGTCTCTATCGGCATGTTATCTTTTAGCCACGTGAATGTAAGAGGCAAATCACCTGTTACAACTACGCACTGTATGCTAGTACGATCGCCTACGTTTAAATCGCGAGCAAAACTGAAAGGCGTGATTTTAGGTGGCACTGAAAAGACAATATAGAAAAAAACAAAATAGGAGTGGCATTCCATTTAAAATAAGCTCGTGATTAAAATGATTCATATTTTTAAATAAAAAACATAAAATTTTCAAATAAAAGCTCTATTACTTAATTGTATGTATATAAATATAAAAAAATATTAAAAGAGAGTTTATTTACAAGGCACTTGCTAATTTTCCATTGCTTCGAGGTATTTTAATCAACCCACGAATATCCCGTACATTGCTTTACATACTCCCAACAATAAAAGCTTTTTATGTTTTAATAAAAGTCAAAGAGATTAAACTTTTCCTTTTTTTTTTAATCCTTTATTCTACCGTTACTCATTGTTATGCCGCGAACGATTGTTCAAAATTAAAACAAATATTTACAAATTTAATAATCTTTATTGATGGATATACTGTCAATTAAAAAAAAAAAAAAAAGGGGGGCAGTAAATAAAGTTACGAGACATTCGATTTGGCAGTTTTAAGAGTTTTCATTCTTGCTGTTTGGCACAATTTCGCTGCACAATATAGATTAATCTCAATATATTCCAATGAAATTTAAAAATTTATTGAACGTGTACAGTAGCTATTTAAAGCCCAGCGAAATTGTGATGGAAATAAGAAAGTCAAGTAGAGTTATATTCATTGCTTGAATTATAATAATAATAATAATAATAATAATAATAATAAATGATATAAAAGCTAAATATTCTAGGCAGATATGGTATTGGCGTCTCGATTGTTGAAAAATTTACACATAAATGAAATACATATATTTATATGTATCCAGGAGCGCGGTCATATTATAGATATATGTTTGTTCCTAGACATAACAGTGAATAAGTATGTGCAAATATGTATATGATATGTTTTTCGGAGCGGTGAACTAGCTCGTGCAGGACTGATGCATCAGCGGTGCAGTGAATTGTGATAGTCCTGTATATTTTATATATATATATATATATAAAGTTATTTTACCCTATTTTAAATATCTATAGTATGTCTTTTTATCAAAAAAAGCTCCTGGCGATGTATTTTACGACTGTATTTTTCTCAACGCACAAAAAATCGTTCATATTTAGTTTTTTATATATCATTATAATGATTGTTGACTAACCGTCATCGTGTTTGTATGGCTGTTGATATTATATATTCTCAAAATATAAATCCATTTTAATAATTTAAATATACTCGCTGTATATAAAGTTATAAAGTTTGAGAGTCTGCATAAAAAAAAACATTGTTGTAGAAAAAAAAAAATAAAAAACAAATACTTGAACTAGACGGAGTGAAAACTCTCGAGGAATTTCTCGACTTTGATCTTGATATCCATAAGTGTCTTGTTAGCATAAGTATATCATTAATGAAAAAAGATTTTAAAATAAAAAAATATCTCTTTGAATAAATATCAAAGCGTTTGAATTTTAACACGATCCTTTACTGGCAGCAGAGTCTTCAGACTTTAAACTTTATAAAATTCAATAAATAGATTATCAATTTATATATTATAGATCTGTTCTATTTATTATACAAAATAAAATTAATAATAACAACTTACCGAGTACTCTAACGTCAACAGTACGATGAGAGGTATAGTTGTGTTTATTCCGTGCAACACAGGTATATATGCCTTGATCTGCACTACGCTGAACGGTATCAATCGTCAAAGTTCCATTTGCAACTCTCTGGCGTATGTTTGTTGGTAATCGAGTACCGTCTGTCGAAAAATAAATATCAAATACATGAAATTTGAATTTAAATGATAGATATATATATATATTTGTTTTTGTTTTTTTTTTTATCCGATTATTTGTTTATATTTTTTTTTCTATTGAAAAGTAAAAGTTTAACTGTGACCTATTGAGTCAGTCAATTGAGGACATACTTTTTTCCCAAATAATGGATTCAATGGGATACCCAGCAACTGGACATTTTATTTCAAGTTGTTTTTCCGCGATTGCCGACACTGCTGGCATTGGACGTACATACGGCAATCCTGAAAATAAATAAAAAACAAACCGAAAATAAAAAACGACACGGATAGATTTTTTATTCTATTGGGAATATGCTTGTTAATAGACCAATTTATCGCATCGTTTTTTCATCAACTATATAAATATAAATATAAATATTTGTTTATAAATTGATTGATAAATTTTATAAATAATGTTTTTAGCTTTAATAACAGGAGTAACTAAAATTTGAGTATATTTATATAATTTTATCTTGATGACGATAAAATTTGATAGGATAGCAGGCAAGTATATTTGAAGGTAAAAGCTAATTAAGATAATTAATGCTAACCATAAACATTGAGCCTGGCAGAGTGAGATGATTCGCCGGCCCGGCTAGCAGCTGTGCATTGATATTCACCGCTGTCCTCGGATTTAACAGAGGATATGTTTACATGGGAAATAACATCCCCGTACACGGTGACGTACTGGCCAATAAGTATACGGTCATTTTGGGGTAGCGGAAACCCATCAAGCAGCCATGAAATTTGAGGCGTTGGATTACCAGCAGCGCTGCATTTAAGTGACACTGATGGTCCCGGCTGCATTGTTTGCTCGATGAATCGGTACACCAGTTGCGGAGATATTTCTGCTCACAAACAATTATTACACCGTCAATTATTAGTATTTGTTGTTTATTTTAATAAAACCCACACTCAAACTCGATATACATTTTAGTTCAATTTTTAGACCAAAAAAAATAAAAGATAAAAATAGATCATCTGAGTTGATTATGTCGACGTTAAAATGGGATATCAGTGTAATAGTTAGACAGACAGAATGAGGGAAACAAGCATTGTCAGAGTATATCCGCGTAGATGAAAATTCTCGAGGGAGCAAGGAAAAAAAACCGGCACCACCAGACGTGATAATGCCACTGAGATTATTGAGGATACCAATTTTTATGGTATGCAAAGAGCAACCAGAGATTTCACTTTGCTATTCTCAATAACTTCTCATTCAAACTTTCCTCCAAGCGAATTTAAAGCCAGTTATGTTTACTTTTAATAAAGTTATTAATATCAAAGTTAAATGGATAAATTATCGATTTAATAAAAATAATTATAAATATTTTTAGAAAAGTGATAAGATAGATGTGGAAGTAAACCACAAAGTAGCTGGCACTTTAGACGCTTAAAGGATATTCAGAATATCGTTAAAACCACAGGAACCTCATTAGCGTATGCAAATCCAGGATGCTAACTATCATCATCACATCACGGTGTAGTGCTCCGGGAACGAGCAAGCACCCGAGGTTCTCTGGTACATCAATATACACCTACCTATCTACCTGTTTACACATTTTGCATCAAACTTTAAAACTCTATTACAAAAACAACAACAAATAAATATTACATTTAATATATACGGTAGTTTAATAATATGTGATCTCAGTTTATCAATATTGATAAAACATCAAATACCAATATAGCTTTTGGTTAATTAAAAACATATATGGAGATATATGTATTTAATTGAAGGTATATATCGCATCCTGTTAAATGGATTCTTTCTGAGCGAACACCAATTAAATTAAAAAATATACGCGTCAGTGTGGATAAACCATTGATTATTATTAAAATGTATTTACATAGAACTAAAATAATATTCATAGGTAAGCGCATCAATTGAAAATACAGCTGGATCGATTTTGGTGCTTTTCAGGTCATGCGGTGTAATTTCTTATCTTGTAAATTTTTTTACAAAAAAATTCTTTTAAATTTAAAGAGAATAAGGTCTATTGGATGAGCTTGTAAATAAAAAAAAGACAATTATTTGTATATGGTGACAGAGAACAGAAGAATTGAAATGCACATCTCTGTGAGAGACTGTGAGACGGATAAATTTATCAACAAACACGGTGGTAGATGAGCATGTAGATCTAATTGAAAATTGGCGTGTTTGTACAGTTGGCACATAAACGGAATGAGAGAGAAGTTACGAAAGATGAGAAACAGAATGATGATGACGATGACGATGATGAATGTATAGTTTGACTAGTTTGACTCGAGTCAAGTATCGAGTTTGCATACTCTATAGAATATGTATGTTTGTTATTGTTGTTGTTGTTGTTGTTGTTGTTGCTTACCTCCCAGGCGTAATTCAGCGATTCCCTGTGCCATCTCATGCTCGTTCCGAACAAAACACTGATACATACCACGATCCTCACGAGCAACAGCACTCACGGAAATGCGATCCCGAGAGATTAGACTTATATGATCGCCTGTCCGCAACGGCTGTCCGTCTTTCAACCAATAAAGCGCTGCCTGAGGGAAACCACTCGCGCTACACGTCTGCACAGTAAGGAAAAATAGATTTAATTTGTAATATTTTATATTACATTATCAAAGCATCCTTTGACGTAAGATAATATATAATATAAATTTTCGAGATGGTTTCTCTTTGTTTTTTCATAAAATTATTTTGAAACGTAGTGTGTACTCACGAGAGATGCTGGTTTCCCGAGATCAACAGTCTGAACAGGAGGCTGAACGTGTACACTCAAAGACGCAGAAACACTCAAACGAATTTCAAAACTAGCGCTCCCTTCAACGTTGCTTGCTGTGCAAACATACGTGCCGGCGTCACTCTCTTGGACTGTTTGTATTGTCAAACAACCGTCCCGAATTTTGTAGTGACCCGAAATCTCATCAATAGGTTCCTCACGTTGATCACGTTTAAAGTACCATCTGTAAATTATAACAACAAACTATTATTATTAATTCATTTAATAATTGTAAGATTTTTGTGTGTACAGCGTTGAGGCAAAGAAGAAATTCGATGACATTTAATTTATAAAGAGCTTAATATACATAAAGTTGGTAGATGATGTAGAGCAAGAGAACCTAGAGCTGCCTGAATTGCATTCAAGTTTACAAACGTTTCCATAATAACTGCAGACCCTAGTTCTCTTGTCCTTTATATATCCTTTATATACTACTACTAATCCAACCCATAACTTACTACCAAGATAAATAGAATTCATGTATAGATATGTATGTATGTATGTATGTATGTATGACAGTAGATTCTCCCTTGCACGACTAGCCAGTTCTAGTAGTCGACAATGTATATGTATGTACGTATGCAGGAGGTATTCCGTAATTTCCCAGTAGCTCAGCAGAATCTTGGACTCATTTAGTGCGCAGCCTCAATAGCAAGATCCCTGAACTGTTAAATCGAACGAGTATTTCCCAGTAAACTATATATGTTAGTAACCTTTGATGGAAATAATTCGTGACCACATCACGTACTCAGTTATTTCAATCTTTAAATCTTTCAATCGAACCAACGAAATCACAAATCACCGGTGATTTTCAAGTCAGCGCTGGCTCCCTCGGTTAAAAGGGTGTTTGATACACATCTACCCTTGTATTTGTGAGCTTGACGGTGGTAATAGTAATAGTAATAGTGACTGGGTGAACAGTGGCTATATCTCTAATGAGATATTGCTCTCCGGAGGATAACCCTCAGGGAAAACGGAGGAAACTACTGGTGAACAACCAGAGTAACCAATTCCCCGAAGGCGATTGACCTTATACTGCTAAAATATATACCTAAAACTTTACTCTCCTCGCTATTATACCGGCATCCTTCTGTACCTAACAAGAGCCAGCGCAAAAGATGATGATGGTGATGATGATGATGATGATGATGCTCTGCTTCCTTATTTCTTATACTCTCTGTCCCAGTCCCGGGCGTTGAGCCTCCGTCATCTTATTTTTCTCAATATTGCTTACTCTACGAAATGAAGGAGCATAAAAAATAAAAAAGGTAGACAAAAAATAAAATGAAAAAATTATAAAGAGAGAGGAATGGGGAGAAGAAGAAGCTGCCGGTGTATCTATGGATAATCGAATTTACCGAGGGAAATTGATGAGGAGAGGCAAAGAGGCAAAAAGACCGCGAAGGATGATAAAATGACAAGAGTCGAGAAAAGTCGAGAGGACCCGGATGCGGAAGGAAGGAAGAGAGCGAAATAGTTGGATGAAGCCAAGACTGCTCTGGTGTAGATGATGTAGATGATGTAGATGCTGTAGATACTGTAGATGCTGTAGATGCTGTAGCTGTATTGCGGTAACAGTAGTGGTAAAGCCAAAACCCCTCACACTTGTATTTTCACAGAGTCAACTCTACCAAGGAACGAGGAACGAGGAACGAACGTAGTTCCAAGCTGATGCCAAGGGCTGGAAACTCTCTCCCTGGTATATACACAGCTAGAAAGAGCTACCAGAGTAGAATTCGGAGGGAGTGAGCAACACGAGCTCTTGGAATACCTAGTGACGTCGACGCTCCTGTAAACGTGGAATATTTGATGGGCTGTCAGAAGCAGTCTCTGTAATCAGCGGTCGGTTTGTTTACCGTTCTCTTACACAGAGAAAGATAGAAATAATAGAACGAGATATACACCACCTTTATATCTATATGTATTTATCTATCTATATATATGTATATATATATATTTATCCGTATTTCAGAATCTCGTCTTCTCATTCACTATTTTCATTTACCCTTTTCTCATTTACTTTCTGTTCTCATTATCATCATCATCATCATCGTCGTTGTCTATGTTCAATATGGTTGTGCGTTATATTTTCAACCCCGTAGATCCCGAGGATTATTGAAATTGAAAATCTAAACCGTAGATTAAAAACAAGACGGTGAAATTGGAAAAAAAGAGAAGAAAAAATAATAAAAGGGTATACACGATTGGAAGGCAAACATTATTTCTTATGGGTTTCATCGGGATGTATGTTAACCAAATTGAATCAACAAAATACGCCGGGGTAAAGTGTCTTGCAAATAGTGTCGGGCTGTTCGTTGATAACACGATAACAAATCTCTTGATGACATGTGTGTATCTATCAACCGTATTTACAGTTAGCTGTGAATAATAAAAAAAACACATGACTTTATTTTCTGTACAAAACAAAAGTTTTTGGAACGCTTTTGGTAGTACCCTACTCTCTATACTCTGTGTAGTAAGTACTTACATCCATAGTTTCAGTAATAAATTTTCTGGTGAAATGTCAAGTCGACAAACAGTTTTCTAGCCAACTAGCTGCACAGCTGTAGAACTAAAAAGCTAGAAAGCCAGAACGCTATAAAACTAGAGAGTGAGTAAATTTATAAAATAAAATGGAATTCTTTTGTAAGAGAAATAAAAAAAATATGTGAGATGCTTTTACGCCCAACTAAAAAGGTGCAGTCTGGAACAAATGATTTTATTCACAACGAATACTATGTTTAAAATTAACATTAATATGGAAAATAGAAGAATACATTTACCTGAATGAACACAGAGACCGCTTTTTTATTTTTTTAGCTTATTTTTTGGTATTGTGACTACTTCATTTCGGATTTTACGACAGTTAAGTTTAAAATAATAAAACGAACAGAAGGATAAACGCCAGAGGAAGATTGTTATTATTATTTTATCATCATTATATTAGTTGTAATATATGTTCTTAGAAGAGATTTGAATAATTATTTTTAATTCCCAGCCAGACGGCGAATATTAAGAGGAAATAGAATTTTAATAATAACGTTTAAATATCTACTTGAGAAAATTGTTTTTACCTGTTAGTCGGCGGAGGATTTGCGTACGCAACACAGGGTATAACCACAGTCTCCTCCAGGCGGGCTGACATTGTATGTAATTTTTCGTTTAATATCGGCGGCGTAAAACCTCTAATTTCTGTAATCACAAAAAATATTCACTAATTATAAAATCAACGAATTAAATCTCTTTCAAAATGAATTTTTTACATATTTTACAAAAATAGTAAACTGGTCATATTATCCCAGTACTAGCCAGTATATTGTTATAGGGGAGGGGGGGGGGGCAAAATGGGGTACCCCCAAAATTTCGTAAAAAAAAATTTTTTTTTCCAAAAAGCTTTTTTAGCTTTCTAAAATATATTTTAACGTCATTTCCTACAATTTCAGAGGAAAAAAAATTTTTTAATTAAAAAACAAAAAATCATTTTCTTTCAATTGGTGTTCTTGGTTCAAGATTTTTACTCTTGAGTCTAGTTAAAATTACTATTAGTGTGTAAACCTCTCATAACTTTTGTGGAATTCCACTGATTTGAACGACAATCGCGTCATTTGATAAGGTTCAGCGAAACTTAGACTTCCTCATCAATTTAAAATAACTTTTTTCTTTTAACAGCTTCTAAATAGATGTAACAATCAATTCCAAAATCTGAACAGTTCTTTAATTTAAAAAACGACGTTGACAGCTGCAAACTGCATCAAAATCGGGCGATGTGTTGAAGAGAAATCGTATACTAATTATTTTAAAAAAGTGTCTTTTTCAAATAACATCAAATTTATTCTTGAATTATTTTTGATGACATAATTTAACTATGAATGCTAAGAAAACTGAGACAGAGGCTGCCAATTGCTTCAAAATCATTTGGTGTGCTTGTGAGATATTTAATTTAAAAAGTAAAATCTTCAGGTCTACAAGATTATTCAACTTGAAAAAATTTTCCTGAATCCCTAAACCAAGAAAATGAGTGCAAAAAAAATTACGAATCTTTTTTTTCGTGCTTTTACTTTGAATTGCGTGAGAACTATGAGTTTAAAAATTTTTCCACCGGGAGTTCCAAAAACCGGGAATTTTCTCAAGAGAACTCTTTTTTTTTTATCTTGATACTATTTTTATTCAAGCGAAACCCGTCAAAAATTACGACAAAATTTTTAAATTTTTTTTACTACCTCAATTTTTGTTGGGAATATATTGCTTCAACTAACAATGTCTCTTTTTTGGGTGATTTGTTCCTCTCTTTGGGTTCTTTCGTAGACTTATCGATAAGAAAATGTTATTTTTTTAACGATATTTCATTTTTGGATGAAGAAATTTTTTTTTCACTCTTTCAGGGAGTACCCCATTTTGCCCGCAAAAAAAAAAAATTTTTTTTCTACGGCAACTTGAAATTTGATTATTTTCCTTTAATTACGACTGAAAACGAGAAAAATCAGCGTATTTAAGTCCTTAAAATCATAACGATTGCTTAAGTACCCCATTTTGCCCCCCCCCTCCCCTATAAATTACTCGAACAGTATTTTAAAACCCTGGTTTGTAATTATGTCGAATTGTACACATGCCTCTGGTGTATTTAGTTACATTGCAAAGCAAAAATAATTAACGATTATTATATAATTAATTTAATCACTCTGTTACACTGGAATGTGTATTTTACGAACATACATTTGTTTCTATTTAATTATTTATGTCGGTAAAAACTCGACTGTAAAACATCTAGAAGCTTGTAAATATTCATTTCAGATCTGCTGAAAAATTTATCCGGCTGAAAACGGTTTCTACAAAAAGTCATTCGAAAGTTTAATAAAATCCCAAAGGTCATGATTTTTTATTTTTATATTTCTTTTTTATTTATTAAAAAAACTATTCTTTAACTAAATCAATAGATAATTAAAATTAATGATGTTTACCTAAAAGAAACTGCAATGATAATAATTGTTAATCAAACAATCTACTTGGGATTCACCGAGCTGAGAGAATTCATATGACAATAAAGATATATTTGATCTGCAAATTGGTTTATTTTATACGCAATTTAAACTTTCAATGGACTTTAATGTGAGATATTAAGTTGAAAAGATCTACGAGGAGCATATTAAGGTTAAATTATAATAATGTGTTTGAAAAAGTACAACATAAAGGTTGGCAATTTAAGTTTGTATAAATATTGATTGTTGTTTCTCTTGACAAAAGTTTTGTTATTTATGATAAGAGAAGAAAAGAAAAGTTTTTACTCATGTTCATTCGAAATGAGTTCATGTTAGTTTTGTCCGTTATCAGCAATAAAAAAAAAATTTTTTTTCTATGCTGTATGTCATAAACAGCCTAAGAAATAAAAATAAGAAGAAAAAGAAAAAGAAACAGCTCCTGGTGTGTTTCTCTGAGGAAAAGAAATAATAATATGAGCCTGAAAGTGGGTTACCCAACATATCTTATAGAATATATAGTAACACGTCTAATGGAAAATTGTAGACCTCAACCATAAAAATAAAAAACTATTTTTTTTACGACCTACACACATAAAACCGTGCAGCCCGGGAAAATTGAGCTTTCTGTTACACTGCCCCGAAATCAAGAAAACAATTTACAATTTTAAAAGAAAACTACCATTGTTATATCGATTGTTTATTCAAGTAGACGAATTGGAATAGTTTTGTCAAATAAATTCGCGGAGAGAGAAACATTTTTTAGTGATGAGCCAACTAAAATAGCTCGAGCTTGGGATTTAAGTAGTATAGAGTTGTTTAAATCAGACATGGCTGCTTTTCGTCAATATTTGCATCGCCCGAGCATAAGAATTGTACTGGTGAATTTTTTATTTAAATACATAACGAGTAATAAAATAAGAGGATAAAAAACCATAGCAATAATGAGTTGCAAATAATTTTATTGTACTGATAAATTTATATACGATGCAAATTGTTTGCCAAGATAATCAGGGAGAGACAAAAATTGTAAGTAATTAAATTTGTGCGATAATTTATTAAAAGCTATCATCAATCTACAAAGTATAAAGTATAAAGTACCGTGTAAGATAATATTATTGGATATATTTGGGTTTGGCGGAAGATTGGGAGTAGCGCAGCGGAAATATAAGCCGCATGGAAAAACAGTCAAGTGGACGAGAAGAGAAGTAGTATACATCCGGAAAATGAAACAAGACGGACCAATGGAGAAAACCGGGATAGGAGGAGAGAAATATCCTCTTGAGCCCCAGCTAACTAACGATGCTTCCCTCCATGCGATACTCGAGATTCGCGTGCCGCTTCAGACAACGTCTGCAACGTGAGTAGCACAGAGATGCCACAAGTACCCCCTACATATACATATACATACATGTATATATACCAAACTCCAATTTATACCTAAGATCCTCATATATATGTACATGTACATGTATATTATGTAGACAGAGTTATGAGGATACTTTTTGTTCATGCTCCGATGAGTTTGTCATTATTCCTCGAGTGTGGTGGTCTCACTGTATCATATCATACTATTTAGTAATAATAATAATAATAATAATAATAATAATAATAATAATAATTAATAATGAAAATAATTTAAGAAAAAAAATAGTCGGATTAAATGATAGAAATAAAAATGGAGCTGTATGCGGATGGCGAGTGGTATTCAAGTGGGTAATCCGTTGAGATTTTGGAAATATTCATATTGCATGCAATCATCCAACTAACTAACACAGGGTTATTTGGAGTCGTGTTTGTCAGATGCAAACACACAATGCACCGGGAGCTTTGCCTGAGGCTTATTGTGCGGTTGTTACCAAACTAGTAAATGACCACCGCTCCCTTTCTGTATTAGTGTGGTATAGCAGCCGTTTAATTAAACATCACGGAATCCACCCACTCAGCTATTCTATTCTATTCTATTCTCCTCCACTCTGTCCAGCCAAACTATTGTTTTTATTGACATAAATACCCGCTGATATTATTATTTTTTCATGTTATTGTTCATAACAATTGACAACTATACAACAGAGCTGCTTTTGCTGACCAATTATAATAATTATTATCATATTAATAACAGCGTGCTTATAATTACCTGCTAACTGTATTCGTCCGACATTAGGACTAACTAATGTATCTTCCGTCAGTTTATGATGAGTTCTACATCTGTATGTCATTTGAGCATCAGCTCGAGTTATATTTATAATCATTAAATCGCCGTTGGGAAGCATGTGATATTTTCCATCTGTAAACATTCATTATTATTAATTAATTAATTAATGTTTCAATAATATAATATAATAAATAAATAAATACCACTGGCAGAAGATGGATAAATATTAAAAGAGGGTTCTTGTAACCAAGATGTTACAGTGACATGATCACGAACGAAACTGGGTACGTTGCATCGCATAAGTACATTGTTGCCCAGGAAACCACCGAGACTCTGAACTTCTGGATCGTAACGCTGGTTTACCACTAAAAGCATAATTATAAAATCTATTTGTATACATTTGTACAGATGAGAGTGAATCAAATGCCCAAGTACAGAGAAATCAGAGAGAGACAGAGAGAAAGTTTAAAGTTTTGCGAATTGGCCAGTAACAGTAAAGTTTTAGAAGCGGAAGCTACTACTCGTTGAGTGCATGATGCTGTTGCAAGTCTCTCTCTATTTCTCTTTCAGTTTATACAACATATTATTATTATTATTATTATTATTATTATTATTATTATTATATATAAAGCAAGATATATGCCAAATGGCAGATGGGAAAACCGAAACTGTACAGTGGTAGAATAGTCGAGGGTAACACTTGACGGTCTTGAGTTAAAGGGAAGAGTTGCCGTTGCAAGACCAGAGAATTGGAATGAACGAGCTGACAAAATAGGAAATTATGGAATATAAGGTCATTGAGGTTGCACTAGTCATTTTCTACAGCTTCTCCTTGGCTTTACTGGTTCTGATTCTGATTTTGGTTCTGGTTCTGGCTATACTGCTGGCGCTGGTGCTGACGGTTTTGCCGGTAGGTATATATATATCCCAAGAAGTAATAGTGAGAGAGAAATATGTCGGGGAAAATTTTAACACACCGGGTGTAGTGTATCGCGGGCAAGGAGGAGTAAAATTTAGTATATAAAGAGAGAAAGAGAGAGAGAGAGAGAGAGAGAGAGAGAGAGAGAGAGAGAGTTGAAATAGAGGGTTAGAGGGTTAGAGGGTTTGGAACCCGTTTCAAGAGTCAGCCAAGCGAAGCACTCAGACTCGCGAGAATAGGGTAAAAACTCGAGTTGCTTTTGGTATATCGTGGCCTCAACTCTAACACAAACCGCTTGGGCATAAACTCACCATCCAGGCAGTCTAGCAGCCTACTGGTACAGCTTCCAAACCAGGCAACCACCCACCGACTATTCCACAGTCAGAGCCAGACGTTTTTCCTCTGCACCGAGTAATATTTACAAACCATGAAATATGCAGAAAATCCACCCGTCATTTATGTTGTACCCGAGATTTAAAGTTATGCCCAAGAAAGGATGTTTTTAAAATAAATATAACTACCGAAAGTATAATTCAGAGAAAAGTACATTTTAAATTGAAAAATCTTGTAGTCAATTTTGTCTCGATTGATTTAATGCACCGAAAACAAAAATTTACAAAAATTAAAGTCTATGGCCGCGAGTCAGGTTAAAATTTATGCTGAAAACACTTTTATCGTAAAAAATGCAAATAAAGAAGGAGATGAGGGCTATATTCATCAGAAGCGTGAGTAAAGTTCGTATACGTGAACAAGGAACAAAATCGTTGTATGTAAAGTATAAAATCGGAAAAATAAGCTGACGGTGCTGCTAATACCCCTACTATTGGTGGAGGTGAACTACTGGCTATGGGTAGTTTCAATCGAAAAAGGTAAAACTTCCGTTCAGTTGGCTATGATTTACGAAGGCGTTAGTTCGATAAGAAATTTCCGGTTCGTTTATTATTCCTGGGAGAAAATTCTTTTCTTCCAGATGCAAAGCCTCCATTTTCTTTTATTTTATTTTCTTTCATTCTTTTTTTTTTTTTTTATATATTTATTATCTTACAAAACAAGTAAGTTATTTTTTTTATTATTATTATTATTATCAAAAATTAAAAGTAATTTTAAAAGAGTGCAGAAAAGTTGATTTAAACCGTTGAATTGGATTCAAACAGTTGTACAAAACAACAAAGTATAAAAGTTAAAAAGTGTTGAAGAAAAAAAAACAATAATTGAGAAAAAGGTAATGAAATTACTTGGTCGATACTCGCGTTCAGCACTTTTTATCGGCATCAAACTTTGAGAAATTAATTCTCAAGAGAGTTATTAGTTATCAGAACAAATAAAATGAATTAATAATTTAATTATTTATTTGTTTGTTAGCTATAAGCTATAAGAATAATAGTAATAGATGATTAGATTAGTTACCAGCTCTAACAGTGACGTCTCTGCTGACAACAGCCCCAACGCTGTTAATTGCCGTGCATTTATAAATAGCCCAATGAACATCCTGACGAAAGGCTTCCGCTTCAAAGGCAGGGAAGTAAATGGTTCCATTACTAAATACCATTCTAATCCCAGGTATGCTGGCGACATTACCACCGTCTGCTGCCAGCCATTCTACCGTTGGCTCAGGGTTTCCCCTGACAGTGCAATCGACACGGCCTCCACTTACATTTGTAAATTCAACCCTCGACTGTGGCTCTACTATGAAATTTGGACCCTGCATCTCGTACGAAGCTTTCCCACCTGAAATTAATAAATTATTAAAGCGTTAAAAATAAAACCAAGCCCCGTTTATATGCTTTTAATTTTAAATCAATACACAGAGAGGTTTAAGGGTCAATTATTAAAGAATAATAAAGTTTAATTTAATGAGTATTGTATCAGCTGGGTAAAGCTTCAAACATTAATACACTTTGAAGCAAGTAAAGTGCCTGATGTGCAGCTTGAAAAATCGACTCATTGTTTTTTCTTTAGAGAAAAGAAAGAGAAAAAAATAAAAAAACAAACACAAGAGAAAGAAAAAAAGAACAAGACAGAGAAAGAGTTTGAATTGAGTAGGGTTAGTAAGCTTTGAATGGTTGTGTGTGGCGAGTGCGTTCTTTACTTTACCAAGTACTCCAAAGTAACGTATATATATATATATATAACTTTACTCATCGAGTAGGAATGAGAAAACCCTCTTCATTGTTTAGATATTCTGATGAGCCAGCTCAAGAGTTACTTCTCAAGAACCCATTTAAAACTACCATAGAAAAGACAACTCGCCAATTATTATTTTAACTATTTTAACAACCAATAAATAATCAATTTTTCTTGCTACAATGAATCTTTTTAATTATTGAAATGTTTGCACAAGATTTCAATCTACAACTGTGAAATTCAATAAGAGTGTTTATTAAGTTAGAGGTAGAAAAATAATATAAATAAAAAAATGACAGTAAATAAAATTGTTAAAGTATTGTCTTTAGTAATAAAGTGGCCGAGTTGAGCGGGCTGAACAAGCTGAGAGCTTCAGGTAGTTGTATAACACCGTGTAGAGAGAGAGAGTACAGAGGGTGGTATAACAACCTCTAGGTACCAGCTACGAGGTATCTTGATGCTACAGATAACGATGAGCCTGACATCGTTCAAGATGTTATCGATTTAGTACAGTAATTTCGGTTACTACATAACACCGTTCTGTAAACATTTATTTTCACAATAATATTTTATCTCTCGTTCAAACAACCAACAATAAAAAATAAAAAAAAAAAACTATATTGAAATTATTAATTTTATCCACCTTTAGATATTTACAGTTTATAGTTTTATTAAAAAGACCGCCCTGGGAAATAACATCTCGATAAAAAAAATTTAATCAAAGAATAAGCTACCTATATATTTATGTATACAAGTTGAGTAATAAATTCTGTTACTCAACATATAAAGACTTTTTATTGTTGTTTTTTTGTGCATACGTGACATGTTTCCGTCTAGAAACACTGAGTTACTTTATAGATTATAATAAAATATTTTTTTTCGTAATAAGTGTCGATAAAATTGTTTTTTGTTTAAATATCAGCGTAAACCAGGCATTACACCTCTTTTATCAGTTATTATTTTGTATTTTTTTTTAAATATAAATTTTTTTTCCCATGAGAAAAATAAAGAAGGGATTTAAATTTAACTTTTGTAATTTTCATTGGACTAATTGTTGTAGAGGATTGTATTAATGAGAAAGAAAACAATGATAAAAAATAAAAATGAAAAAGTAAGAGCAGAATGATTAAATCTATTGAGGATAAAAGAGTTTTGAGTGTTATTATGTTGTGAAGAGCTTAAGAACAAAAAAAAACCCCCGAGATAGTATCTTTATAGAATGTCGTAATAATAAAAAATAAAGTAAATAAAGTAAAAGAATAGAGCATCGTTGACCGTAGAGCGTGGTATACCTATAGTATTGAACGAAAGAAACAACTTGAAAGTCTGGTGCTGTTCATCCGGTGGTTTACAATTACCGTCTTGCATTCAGTCACTGAACGAGAAGAGAAGCGCGCCTAACAGACGACGCCGGAATTCTGCGGCTGCCGTCCAACAATGCAAACCAACTTTCTCGTTTCACAGTATTGTTTCCATTGTTCCCTTTATTTTTTTTCTGGATCATCCCGTACTAGTACTAGTACCAGCAGCCTGCCGCCATCCAAGCGTTAGCTCGCCCCCTGCTATCATCATCCTGATATTATATGCCACTCTTATACCTTTGCTTCTACCAGGCTCTTCTCTACCCAGGCCAAAACCAGTCCAAAGATTACTGATTTCAATGCTTCTACTATCTACGCTCAATTTTATCCACCGACTCTGATGGTATGTGCGTCTAAATACCCTATCCGGATATTGCCTTTCCTCTTTACTCTTTTACTCCAATAATCTCCTGCTGTTATTCATCCACTGTTATTAACTCTAATTTACCAACGATAATTGTCAATAACTTTGTTAATAAATTAACAAAGTTATTTTCAGATTTATCCAAGAGTTTTCTCAATATAAAGAGAGTATACAAAAATTAATAACCCAATGTCTCATCCAATAAATGAGATAAAAATATACTTGCAACGTCATTTCATTCCTTTTAAATTTTATTTAGCTTAACATTTATCAGCTAGAGTGTATATAAAATCAATAAACATTTTTAATAAAATGACAAAAGTTTACGAAAAATAAATGTGACGACTTATGGCAACCTTACAACTTCCCGCTGACAATCGATTTGGTAACTGTTAAATTTTTTTAAAGAAAACCATTTTAAAACTCTATCTAAAATAATTCTCGGATTTTAAGATACTAACTTGAAATTTATTGCAGTCAAACTTTATTATTTAGCAAATACTTTTTTTTTTTTATAAAAAGGAAAACAATAAAAAAGTAAGAAAAGTAATATCACATTAACCCTTAAATTGTTATGTCAGTTTGCTAGACTACTGTTATCAGAACTTTTTAGCTACAACTTTTTTCTATCCAATGCTTGAAACTTGTCCAAACTTTCGAATCATTTGGTATTGAAATAAAAAGTAAAAAAAAGTCGATGGGACTTTACTTTTCCAAAAAAATAAATTGGAAATTTTTCTTTCTATTTTCCGGATAAACAGAAGATTTATTACATATTTTTAGTAAAAATCTAATAAATTATTCGTAATTATTCGATCAAACAAATTTATAAACATTGAGTATTATTTTATGGAGTTTTCGATGTAAAATAAATCATAAAATTCAAAATTTATTCTCTCTGCTTTCGGAAACAATATTTTTTTATATTTAAATTTAAAATCTTGAGAAAATAGATCGCTTTAATATATATCTGAATAAATAATGTAAAAGGAAAAATTGGAAGATAAGCGAGAGATTGTATAAGGAAAATTAAACGGTGATTATGGTTATTAAAAGTAAAGTGAGCAATCGTAGTTAAAATTTTCATTTAAATATTGAAAAGGCAGTATGAAAAAAGAAAAAAAATATGAAAAAAGGGTAGTATATAAAGAATATTGAGTAATATAGCCAAGAACGAGAGGGTTTGAGAAGCAGTTGGGGTACCACCTCAACGCCGGATTGAGGTCGATCTTTATGTATGCTTTCCAACATCAGGGGATCAGGGGAGAATCCATTAGGGCGTTCGTCGCTACTAGTTTAAACTCTTGAAAAAAATATATATATATATATATATATATATATATATATATATATATATAAAAGCATGTATGGATGTGAAGACCAATAACAGAGTATGAAACGTACTGCACTCTCGTCATAAATTGATACTCTATACGATCTGGTAAATGGGCACGTTGTTTCCCTATCAAGTATCCTGGAATACATTCTGGGTATTGATTAGCCAAATTCGATACCTCTCCAGTCGTTAATCTATCTAAACGTCTAAATGTCACCAGATCATTTCCAAAGAACGATTAAATTTTTTAGAACCAGATCGTGATAATTATAAAAAAATAATGAAGATATTTAATAAATGATAGCAAGAAGATTTCTGTGTAAGTTATAAATTTAAAGATATGCGGAGGAACGAGAAGAGGTCGTTCGCTATTCGCTATACAACTAGCTCGTTAACTTAGTTGGTTTCCTCATACTCGTCAGAAAACAGAGGTTGCCCCCGAACTTTACCCTCGGGAGACTCGACATCTCTGGATCGATCCTATCCGACATCGGAACTCCTTCAAGTACTGTATTCACGTGACGTCTAACCTGTGCTGCTTGGCTTGGTTAAACCGTAGTAATTGATTCACCTTTTTGACATTTAAAACTTTTTATTCTTACCAACCCTAAGACTCGTTTTAAATTAATATACATTTAACGTTTTTTAAATAATCTCATTTATTTTTATCGATTTAATAAAATCAGATAATTAGTCGAGTTAATTTTTATTGTAAAAGAAAATCTCAAGGTATATTCAATGGGTTTTATATTTAAAATAAAAAGGATTAATCCTGTCTTTGCTAAATATTTCCGTGCGTGTAACTTGAATCGTCAGAGGAAAAAAGTCATATACCTTTGTGATATTAATACTTGAAAAAAAAAATACAACAAAAAGCTGTAATAAAACTGGGAATACTTTACTGCAATATAGTAACTCGATATTAAAAAAAATCCATGGAGGAATATATTCCATTAAATATAGAATTTTATAATGAAAAGAAAAAAAAAAAAACAAAAAGTAATTATTCGAATTTCTAGACTATATTGTAAATAAAGGACAATTTATTGGTATAATTTAGCTGATAGCAAAGTTTGAAATGATCTAAAGTTACAAATGTTTGTGTAGAATCAATTCTCGCGAGTGTAGAGACCAGAGGGCAAAGAACAAAGAGCAAAGACCAAATATTCCGAACAAGAGAACTGATAATTAAAACTGGGTATTGAGAAGTAATAAATAGACAATATAGGTAATAGTTAATAGTTAATAGTTGTTCAAAGAATGATTAACCACAAATTATATACATATAAATACAGTTGGGTAAAGGTGGAGATAGAGATGGAGATCTAATGTCTCTCGTCACAGGAAAACTACTGACATTGGAGTGTGGTTTGAAACTACCTAAAATAGAGCCAGTGTACTGCTCTGAATAGGAGAGAATATATACACAGAGCAAGAGACTTTGGACATACATACACCAGTACAAAGACCAAAATGCAAATATCTCGAGGTATTCGGTCCTGTGTACTTAGGAAGACTCTTGCTCTTGGTACAACCTGCCGTC